ATATGGATGGATGATTGGATGGTTGGATGGATGGATGGATGGATGGAATCCAGTTTTTTCTTTTGTCTCAAAACGTAAACATATCAATAACAACATTAACAACCATTAGATGTTTTTAGTTTTATAATTTCACACCTACTGGCCAGAAAAGCCCCCTCCAACAAACATAAAGTGGCCCATGGGCCACCAGTTGATAATGACAATTGCAGCAGGTGTTGCTGCTCTGGACACATTTAATTTAGTGACCGAAGGGGCAGAAATGGCTCTTTTGATCGTAAATGTTGCAGCAGACCCCTGAACCAAACTTTATCAAAGCTAATGCCACTTGTAATCACGGCCTTTTCTTGTCTTTGTTTTATGACTGAAACAGGCACGACGGCCTGTAAGGCCAGGCAACAACTACTGGTAACTATTAGACGACACATCACATCAAAAATCACATCGGTCCCTTTAACAGCAGCCTCGTGCAGACACTGCCAGCCCTGACGGAGACTGGAAAAAAAATCGGACTCCGAGTTTCAGTCTTTTTCCTTGTGAGCTATTTTCAGCATGCATTGGAAGGCATGTGGGAGGGGGGCCTGAAAAAAGACACTTGTATATAGCTCACACATAAAAAGTACACATTCACAAAAAACCCTGACATTTTCACTAACGCTAATGTGTACTGAATTGGTGGTAAATTTGATCTTTTTTGGAGGGGCTGCTGGAAAGCCGGCGGCTTAGAAGCCTCCTTGAGTCTGTGGAAGGTCGCCAAGCCTTGTAGATACACACACACACGTGATACATCATACTCACACGTCTTCAGTCTCTAACAAACACAAACAGCTGCGCACAATAACCCAACCCACTGAAATTTTCAGGAGTGACATCAATCCAATAAGCCCGGCCTATCAGGGATGGAGCAGTGCACCACAACACAGCTGCTCTCTCCATCTTCCCGCTAACCCATTTCCCCTCCTGGCTTCCTTCTTAACTCCAGCTCAGCAAAGCAGAGAGATGACAATTTTGTTTTAGCCGGATGAATCTGTGGTTTGTCATGACCCAAATCTTCATTTTTTGTTGCTGCTTTAAAAAAAAAAGTCATAGAGTTAGGAAATGTTATTCGTGTCAGGGAATTGCTTCCAATCGTTTTCTGCTCCTATTCATATTATATTATTATTATTTGTATGTTTTCATTATTTCTTGTAATCTCAAAGAGCTGAAGCAAGACGGTAATAGGATTCCTCTGCTCCCCCTTTCAGCATTTATACAAATGAATCCCATTAGATCAGCCTGATATGGGATGCCATTTGTAAAGTTGCACAGTCAAAAATTAACATCAATATTTTTGGTTTATTTAGCTATTAATAATAAAAAAATATATATAGTTTTTTTTTTCAAAGTCATATTTTCACCATGTTATTCATACATTTATAGATGTCATAGTTCCCAACTAAATATTTAATTTACAACATAAATATTTAGGTTATAAACTAAATACTTAACTTGCAAGTTAACTATTTAGTTAATAAACTAAATATTTAGGTGTAAATTAAATATATAATTTACGCTTAAATAATTAGTTTACTAACTACATATTTAATTTCTAAGCTAAACATTTAATTCCTAAACAAAAAATTTAATTTGCTAACTAAATATTTAGCTCGGACCTAAATATTTAACTAGCAAGTTAAATATTTAGCTACCAAGCTACCAAGTTAAATATTTAACTAGAGAGTTACATATTTAGGTCCGAGGTAAATATTTAGTTAGCAAATTAAATATTTACTTTGGAAATTAAATGCTTATTTTGTAAAATATATATTTAGGTCCAAGCTAAATATTTAGTTAGCAAATTAAATATTTAGGAATTAAACGTTTAGCTTAGAAATTAAATATTTAGTTAGTAAACTAAATATTTAGGTGTAAATTAAATATTTAGTTTATACTAAAATATTTAGTTTACTAACAAAATATTTAGGTATAAATTAAATATTTAATGTACACCTAAATATTTAGTTTACTAACTAAATATTTAACTTGCAAGTTAAGTATTTAGTTTGTAAACTAAATATTTATCTTGTAAATTAAATATTTAGTTGGGAACTATGACATTTATAAATGTATGAATAATATGGTGAAAATATGACTTTGAAAAAAAAAAACTTTTTTCGTATTCAAAACTAAATAAACCAAAATACTGATGTAAATTTTTGACTGTGCAACTTTACAAACGGCACCCTACAGCCTGATCAAACTTGAATTCCTTTTAAGTGCTACAAGACAGTGGCAGGACCAGGAGGAGCTCATGCCACTGTCTCTGTGGGTCATTAAGGTTCACTTCGGGCCCGGTTTATCTCTGCTAATGTGTCAAATCAGCCGAGGCGAGATGCATTCGGCTGCAAGGCTGAATCCAGAGATCTCAAAGGGCTCGGAGTGCTAAATGTGATCGGACATCTTGTGATGGACCTTTTCTGGCTTTTGTTTCCAAAAGCCAAGTTTCCTCCCAGCTGAGGGGAAAGGTCTGATCTTGCAGGACTCGGATGGATGTGCTTGCTTTCCAACTTGATACCCCAAGACCTCCTGTCACTCGCTTACGAGCTCATTTATGGGATGGATATTCACCTCCTGACAGGAATATATGGAGTGCTAGCTGCAGGATGCACCCTCACCTTTGACCCCTTGTAGCCTATATGAGTCTACATGTGTTCCTTCTTGTCACTATGTGTTTATACTGGTGGTATTAAAAACACACGATAATATTCCAGTGATTCACTTCTTGAAGGCGTGCATATCGCTCAGCATCTTTCATACAACAGTGTTCAACTAAGATCATGTATCATGTCCTGCTGCTGTTATTACTCCTTGTCACTAGAGGGCACATGTGTGAAAGCATTGAGCTGAAGAGACTGTTGTGTCTCATGCAATATTGCAACACTATGCATGATCTGTAAGTGCTTGGAGTATGTGCTGTGATTGCACCAAGTTTTAGCTCAGTATTTGTTTATCTCACTGAGCTATAGCAGTTTGTGTGTTGGCTAAGTTTGATTAGCTGTGGTGGCCATCATGAATGTAATTGACTTCGAAAGTTACTCAGTTGGAAAAAGTCTATCTAATGAGAGCAATATAAAAGTTTCTTTCAAATACATCCAGTGGTTAATGAGATATTTTGCTAACAGACAAGTTGACTCTAACAGTTAATGCCAAGGTTTTAAGCATAGCTCGTGCACGATGTTTTGAACTCAGACCATGAGTTGGCGACGATGCTCAGCCACTACCACACCAAAAGCTGGCTCAGTATTTGTAAAATTCGCTGAGGTATAGCCATTTTTTTGTATTTTTAGGTGAACTGGCTGTGACGGCCATCTTAAACTGAGTTGAAGCCAAGTCTGTAGACTTCAACTGAACAAGCACTGTCTTAATAGTTTCAATAAAATCCCTTCAGTGATTCTTGGAGTATTTAGCTAACGGTGCAGACAGCACACAAAGCAAAAAACACCATCGCTCATTCTGATCCAATGACGCGTACAAAAAAAATAACTGAAACCATCTTTTAATATACGCTCGAACTTATGTTTAATTTTCGTACTTATTTGTTCAGATAAATAAATAAGAAGACGTTCGAGTTACTTAATCCCTCTGCTCTGCCTGGC